CCATGGTCCTTGCACGATAGACCCCAAAACCTTTTCCCACCGCAGACTTGCAGCTGACTTGCAACCACACTGACTGTCAGAGTGCAAACATTGTTCAACCATACAGTTCTTGCCGACCTTTTCGCCATGCCGTTCCCTCACCTTCCTTCTCAACGTGGGAATTGAGTTCACTGAATACAAGTGTCAGAGTGTGTGCGAGTGTTGTTTTCACAATTTGCGCAACACTCCAGCAAACACTCAGCATGATGCCAGACTGACAGGGATGGTCACAAGTTGGCCCAGCAGTCCACCAACGTCAGATCGAAAATGGCCAAGGCGTGCTTCACCAAACTCACCTGGACTGTTTTTGATTGTCTCACCAATGTCACCACAAGGGATTGAGTGACATCTCGACATCATCTCAAGCCTGTCAATCAGTGTTCTTGCGCATCTTGTGACGCTTATTTGTGGAGCTTATACTAGGCACCTGGGCAAGCCCGGCATACCTCTACAGTCGATAAAACCGCCGAGAACCAAAAGCAATTACCGGCAAGTGCTGCCAAAGTCACAAAAGCCGGTGCATCAGACAAGGCTTCACCATAAGCCACTTTGTGCTTCTTGCTCCTGGCATGTTGGCAACCCTTCCCCACAAAGCCCCCACAGCCTTAAAGCTATCCAGCCTGTGAAAGCCCAAAGCATCACCCTCCTTTTTGTAGCTCGCTGCCTCAAACAGCTCTTCTGTCACGAGCCAATCTCTCAAAACGCAACATCTCCAATCCCCTTGCCTGAATCTCTCTTTCAACTTCGTGCATCAGCCGCCAGTCATCTTTGGCGCAGCAAATGTGCTTCAAATGCATGCAACTGCCAGCTGGCGGTTGCTGCAAGGGCCTTGACATGCTAGTGCTGCTAGTGGGTTATGGTCCATGCCAAGAATGGCAAGGGAACACATGGGTGCAGAATGCACGCAAGCAGTCAACAGGACCAACCTCGGCAGTGTATTGGCCAGCCCAGAGGGAAAGCGCTGCTGGGATCTTGCTAAAGCACCCACATACTCAAGGGCACCTGGGACACCAGGTTGCATGTAGCTGCTGAACACTCTAAGATTACAACTATAACTATAATTGGCATTTTTCCCACTGATAATTGGTCGTGGCATGAACGGATCGCTCACCAGTGGCGCTATTTCCATCACGGCATCGATCCGCCTGATTGTGGCAAATGAGGCCCGGCGTGGATCCGCATGCCAGCTCGCTGCATGGCTCGCCAAAAGGCTTGGTTCATGTGACGGGTGGTTTTCTCAAGGAGCATTGTTCATGTCCTTGGCCAATGTGAAACACAATGCTTCGCCCGCTTCGCCCTAGCGCTGGGAGGAACTCTTTGTTCGCAACTGGTATGTGGGTGATCATGATTTCCGTTCTGAAGGGCAACCGCGGTTCAATAGATCACCTGCCAACCGTCACGCAGCAAAACACGAAAGTGGGTGCCTTAATTTCACATCCATGCTTTGAGCCAATAGTGAGACAAACCAAGAACACTCAGAGTCAATTCCCATGCGTCATATGTTCTCTCAACTTCACTTCTCAGGTGCTCCTCATATACAGTATTCCAAGCATATGTTACACGTGTTCACACCGTTAAAACAATCAGCCGCTCCTCTAAGCCTCTAAGAACCTTCAGGTCTCACACCGGTTTCGCACCTCACAGGACTCCCCATGGCCCAGAGCCCAGCGGGGTCGGTCAGCAGTGCCCTTAGCGCCGCTGAACTCCCACAAGTGATGGCAAATCGAAGGAAAATCATCAAGTAAACGGCAGTTTACCCATGGATGCCGTTGATTCTTGACGTGCCAAATCAAAGCAACAATCAAGTGGGGAACCTTGCAAGCGCTTCTCTCACGCACTACGGGAACAGGCTCCGAGCACAAGCGATGTGGTCCAAACCGACGAGCGGCCGAAGGTCACAGGGCCTAGGAGGAGTCAGTGAGTGAAACAAGTGATCCTGCTTGACAATTCGGTGGAGACCCGAATTGTTTTGCGCCGGTGCAGGAAGGAAAGGAGTTGGCCAAACTTGCGATCGCTCTGTCTGAATTAGTGCGCAGGGCGCCTGCCAAATGATAAGTTCCGAAGTTTTCAGGATCCTCCATGGCATGGGACTGTGTATGACACGTAAGCATTGTCAGGTAAAGGGTACAAACTGTGCCACGCTAAAAGCTTGACCAAGCAAGCACCATTAAGTTACCTCCCCAACCCTTGCTGAGATCCACACCCCCGTACATGCAACAAGGCGTGTGCAGGAATTAGCTTCAACCTCGGGGACGCAGTGCTCAGCACAAGAACTGAGAGACCCCTCCAGTCAGGCACTACTGCCAAGTTGTCATCGTAACCTGTCTGAGGTTGTGGCTCATCTTCGGTATCTGGTCCAATGTAGTTGATGGCGAAACCTGACAAAAGGACACTGAAAAATATGTGTTCTAGTTCTATCCAAATTGATTTATATATATATAATGCCCTTTTGGTAGAGGTCTAGTCTACGGCAACTTGGGCACCTGTATTATTGCAGCCAGCGTGACCTGGCACACAGAACTGGCCGGCCCGCCCAAGCACCCCTGCGCACCTGCTTGACCCTCTAGCTCCGTGTAGCCAATTAAGATCGACTCAGAACACGGGCACAGCTTGGAAGAGGAAGGTGGCTACAAACGGTTGATCCATTGTCCGAGTCAGTTGGGGCAAAGCCTGGCTGAGGCTGACAGAGAAAAAACCGTATATGCACAGCACTCATGTGCACCATTAAGGCTCGCCCATCACCACCCCCCCCAAGAAAAATACATAACCTGCTCTGTCTCGGTGACCTGTCTGAACAACATCGAATCATTGCCCTCAACGTGGTAAATCAGCAATTGCTTGCACAGGAGCCACTGCGCTCAAGCGCCAACTGTGTTTCACGCGCCATCCCCCAAAAAAGAATCTCCTGTGCTTGGCGGCCGCGCGTGATATCCAGCCTCAGGACAATGAACCAGTGCTAAGTATGCAGCCTACTAGCTATGCAACAACAGCAACAGCAGCAACAACAACAAGAACCACTGTAAACCCCGAGTTCTTTCAAGGCCATCAGCAAGTGCAGCTCTTATCCTGTCTCACCTGAAGGTTCAGCAGAACCACAAACCAGTTCCAAAGCACAATTGGCACTATTGAGCCAAGGTCTTCTGGGCCTGTGACTGGTAGGGTGACAGTGGTGGAAGGGATGCTGGCACGTGCAAGCCTTGGGCGAAAAAGGAGACAAAAGCGAGCGCATGCAACTGAGACACATGGCATGGCGGAGGCATGCATGCCCTGCATCGTATGCTGGACAAATTCCGAAGGCACCAGCAGATCCCACCCCCAGCTTGCCACCACAACTGTGTCTCCTTCCTCTGCTTCCGCCGTGTTTTTGCGTACCACGTTTTTGGACGTTTCATCCCAGGGCCACTAATGCCTCTTAGGTGCATCAAGGCATCTTCCTTGATGAGGATTGCACCATCTATCCTGCACGCTTCACGCACTCTGCCAGAAAGAAAAATTTGGTGAGCTTAGTCCAGCAGCGTATATAGGTTGTAGCATCCCTGCTTTAAAGCTCAGAAGGCCAAGTTTCAAATACCTCAACAATGTGATCAAAAAAATCACGCCAGCATAGACCCCAGATAGCAAAACAGATTTACCAGCAGCACCTTCCAGCAGCACCAGCACCGAGGATCCAAAGCACCCAAAAACATCTGGCAGCGGTGCTGTGCAGCTGCACCCTACAGCGGCTCCCTGCAGTCACCCTCCATAATTTGCCCACTGCCCACGGCCAGCAACATCGGGCAGCAGCACCCTGCACGGCACGAGCATCCAAAGCGCACACGAACGTGCACATCTGGCAGCGGCACCCTGCACGGCACCAGCACTCAGGCTACAAAGCACACACAGGCACTTCCAACACTTGAAGTAAGAACCCCAATAGTTCTCGCTATCTGGTGAAGGTCATGGAAGCTGGTGCCAAACCGGTGCTCGGCAGCACCCCTTCCGCCTGAGCTCGGCCGCTCCCAAACAAGTGATCTGGAAGCGGTAGTGACCTCAAAGCACCCACAGCAGAGGCATGCAGCAGCTTGGGGCTGAATGACTGGGAGCTGCACCGGGCTTGCGAATGAAAAGGAAGCCTGCAACGTGTGTGGATGGGTGAGAATCTGAGTTCAAATTCAAAAGTCCCAAGTCGTCTAAAGCAAAGCTCCGATCTGATAATGGTGTCGGTTTCTGCTTCATCACTGCAAGGTGGGGCGGTGGTAGGGTCACTGATTGCAAAAAGGACTTGTTGGAGCCGATGGCTGGGCCCAACACGCAGGAGAAGACTGTGCTATAGTACGGCTATAGGTCATGGGAATAGAATTGTGGCTTGGAGAGGGCTCCCGCCTTTCCACTTGATGGCCAAAGCCGAGTAGACATCCTCGGTGGCTAGAAAACATCGAGTACTCTCTTCTGTGCAGAGTCCAGATGCAAAAACTTTCTCTCCAGCGGACAGATTGCGGTTCCAATTGCATGATATTGCGCGCTGTCTGTTCTGGTGCCAAGCTAGCCACACCCCAGTGGTGCACGGTATGGTCGATGACCGCTACGGTCCTGGCATGTGATGCGGAATCACAGTCAGTGTACGCAAGTGCCTCCTATAATGTGTGTTTTCGTTCAACCCCTTCCAACATTACGCCTGAGACCTTGGAGTATTTCCGAGTATTGCTGTGCCTTGATGCCAAGGTTCCCCCAAGTCATGGTGCTGCTTGGCATCTGAATCAAACCCCCCCAAAGCATCCTGAAGTTACTAAATAGGACATGACGCTTACCTTCCTGTACTAACAACAGGAACCACGGCCCTTCTGAAATTATGATTCCATGTGATTGCTCATGACATCATGCGTCCAACATTTCGCCAGTGCCACGAGGTCTTGGTCTTGAAATCGAAGAGCTCTCCCACCAGTCCTTGCCTCTGCGGAGTGCTTCCAGAATCTCGTGTTGTGGTGCTTTGGCGCTTTGGGTAGTTGATTTCGTATGTTTGCACATGGGTGGTTGAGAGCTGGATGCCTATGTCGCGGCCTTTTTCGCTGCAGGCGTTCAGCTCTCTGATGTCTTGTTAGTCCTCTAGGCATCGTCCTTCTCAGCCTTTGCATCAGTCTTGGCTTTCTTCTGCACGTTTCCGTAGAACTTGGCCTTCTCCTCGCTGGTTTGGAATCGCCCATGTCCAAACTTGGAAGAAGTGTCAATGAATTTCAAAGTCACCTTTTCCAAGGCCCTTCGCGACACCTGAGGCAAGAGTGACTTTCGAAGAGTGATGAGGCGCTTGCGTGGACCCATGACTGTGCCCTTGAGCATCACCCAGTCCTCGTTGACCTCACCATAGTGCGAGAAGCCACCCATGGGAGTAATGGCCTTTTCTGTGAGATCGTTCTCCGTTTTGGCATTCACCGGATCGTCCTTTAAAGCCTGACCCACGCGGTAGATCTTCTTATTGATCTCGGTACGGTGGTGATAGCCACGTTGACCTGATCGCGGCACCTGGAAGGACACTCGGGCAGGGTGCCATGAGCCGATGCAGGCCACTTTTCGCAACCCACGGTGTGTCTTCCTCGTCAAGCGAGTCACTCCCCAACGGGTCACAACACCGTTGAAACCCTTGCCCTTTGTGGCACCAATGACATCAATCATCTCATCCTGGCTGAAGCAATCCGCGATCTTCACCTCCTGCTCGAACAGGCCCATCACAAAGTCCACTTTGGCTTCCGTGGTTCCACCATTCACCTGAATCTCCTTGATGTGAGCCTTTTTCTGCCCGATCTTCACTTTTCCAACCTGAGTATGGCAAATGGCACGGATCACCTGACAATACTTCTTGGCTCTCTCCACTTCAGCCTGCATAGGACTGCCCTCCTTGGCTTCACTCCAGCGCTTCTGGTATTTGGTGAATGCCTTCTGCTTAGAAGAGTGCCAGGACTTGTAGAAGCGACGCTTGCACTCCTCCGACAAATGCCCAGCCCAAACCGAAGTCAAAGCACGGAGACCTCTGGGAGTCTCAACGTAGCCGACGAAGCCTACGACGATCATCGGAGGGCTCTCCAAGATGGTCACAGGCTCCACGATCTCCTTCTTGTTCAATTTGGAGCCAGGCCTATCCACCTCCCGGACAATGTGAGTCATACCTGCCTTGTAGCTCATGAAGGCGGTCAAATGCGGGCTCTTAGACTGATCATCCTTTGGGAAGCTCTTGATCTTGCCATGGTGGTGCTTGGTCCGCTTCCTCGGGAGGAAACCCAAGGAACCATGGCGTGGACGCTCAAACTTGCGATGCGACATTGCTGAATGCACCTATGCAAACTCCGCTGGGCCAATGCACAACGGTTGTCCATTTGAGGCAATGTGGAACAATATTATCAGCAAAAAGCCCTGAGTGTGCATACATGTGCCCACGCCCCGCACATTCAATGGCCATACGTTCAAGCTTTGGGAAGCTTTGGCCATTCTTTGACTCAAACTCCCAAGACAAAGAAAGCCACAAGTCAAACAGTCCCTCAATCAAATTGAAGCGGCCTCATGGGCAGCATGATTAGTTGGGATTCTGGATGATACGTTATATTTATATATATATAGTCTAGGTGCTTTGCAGGTCAGGTGCCCGGCTCCAAAGCGGCGCCCACATCCACAGGACGCAGCACTGGCGGGGTGGTGGTGAAAGTCACCTGAGGTCACCCTGAGGTCTCCAATCTATGGACAGTGATGTTGTTTCAACAACAAAGGATAGCAATCGGTGAGGGATCTCGCTTCGACGTTCGCGGTCCCCCAAAACCTCGTGTCCCTCGAAGTCCCCAACGAAGGAATCGTGCTCACTCTGTTCATCAACACTTGAACCAAGTTCAAAAACATCCAGTTCGTGGGAATCACCTCAAAACATGTTCATCTGATTTATTGGCATCCATTGTTCGGAAGCCTTCAAAGCCACAACTTGGGCCCAACAAAAGAAAGTCAGCGCGGCGACAGGAATGCGATAGGGGCCCCAACGGTGCTTGTGGGCAGTGGCACCACCGGCACCGCAGCTGGCCTAGAATCTAGAAGAACCAAGCGGCAAGTCTTCGAGAGGGCAAAAGGCACAGAAAACGCGCAGCATAGCTTTCACTGTCGTCCTCACGTTTCAGGAGGCCCGGCTGTACAGTAGGGCTAGCCGGCTCTGGCATCGATGCGACCTTGGCAGCTTCACGATCTCAAAAGGGACCGGAGAAGCTTGTGTCTGGGCGTCAAATTTGGATTGCTGGGAGTCATTCTTGTTGGTACGGAGTGGCGACACAAAATTGGACGCCAAGATCTTCCTCTTAAGCCCTTAAACTGCAAACTTGAAATGCAAAGCCAGGCAATTGTTTTGTGCAGCTGTGGCTGCGTCTCAATTTGATTCATTCATGCCCAACATCGTGCTCTCCCGTGCCTTCTCAATGACAACACAACCCCGGCAAAAAACGCTGCATGTATTTTCCTTAATTGTTCAACAACTTCAAACTGTTTGAGCTGGCACAATGCTTGCCTTGGTTCTTTGGGCTGGAGGGCACACGGGGTCCATACAACGCGTGCCTCACTGAATAAAAGTCACACCTGCAACTCATGTAGCTGCCGATTCACCACAAAAATTGTCTGCTTGGAAAGGGGGGCGTTCGGGACGGCAAGTGGACATATTTGTGCAATGTTCAAACCAATCCCCCAAACAAATCCAAACAAAATAATTAAGGCACCGGGCCTTGGTGTGCTGAGGCACCACGGGCACTGCTTCTACGGCGGGCCTGCGTTGAGGCCAGCAGGGGCAAAAGGTGAACGCTAGTTAAGAGACAGCAGCCCCTTTTCCCACTATTGGGAGGATGTCTACACCCAAAATTCAGCGAACCACACTTCCCAGGCCTGTAAGGCCAAGACACTCAAACGTCATTTACTTAGCAAGTGTTAGGAAGGCCAAACTCAGGAAGATAGCTGCATCACCCGTTGATGCTCCCGGTGCACCAAACGCGACTTGTTTCTACTCTTGCAACCCTGGTGTGGGGAGAACAGCGACAACCAGCACAGCCCAACCAGCAGTGCACGAGGCGTTTAACTCATTGAGAAACTAAACCACCTTCAATTCTCCTTTAAAGGTCGCAACGAACACACAGCCCCCTTTCTACAAGGGCCAAAAAAAGAACACAGTCAAGCAAACCTGTGGCGGAGACCACACAACGGCCGAAAAAAAGACGTTGCCCAACGTATTTCGTGAGCAGCCCACTTGACTGACCTCAAGTAACCCATGAACACGGTGACGACCGGTCGACCAACTCAAAACAAGAACATGTCATTGCAAGCAAGCCCCCGTTTGTTGCACGCTCGCGTCCACGTCCCGTGATTTGGAAATGGTTAGGAAGACAGAAGCACTGTAACTTACCCGAACTCAAGAAGAGACTAAGAGAACCGCTAGCTAGCTAAAGCTCCCTGCGCACCAAGTTCTATTCTCACAACCCTGGTGTGGGGAGAACAGCGACCTGAACCAGCAAAGCTTAACCAGCGGCGCAAAAGGTGTGTTTTCATAAAATCAGCACCCGTCAAATTCTTTCACATTCATGGGTCTTTAACTCGCAAAGTGTCCACTTTGCGTACCTTGGCTTTGGGCAAAGTGGTCTTTTGCTAGCTCTGCATGCAGTTCGGTGCATGTCGTGACCAACTTTTTCCGCTTGCATGCGTCAAACCTGGTTGCGCCGCCCTCCAACCTTCTGAGTTTATCCTGCAGGTCACATGTGTCTATTCAAGAAATAGAAGAAATAGAATAGATGCACCCGCTTTTAGTTTTGAGGCTATAGCTCCAATATGCCCAAACGGCGCAAGGGTTTTCCCAGCTCAAGTTCCAGACTGCTTTATGACATGGAAACGTCGCTGACAACGCAGCACGTGAGCTGCCGTCATTTCCACCAAAGGCGCCGGAGTTCTCCAGCTAAGGGCTCCTTTGCGGTAACATGGGTCACGCGGTCACGCAAACACAATCAACTCACTCCTCTCTACATACGACAGATTTACGGAAGCTGGGTACCTCATGAGGGAACGCAGGATCGCTCACAGCCAGTCCTGTCGCCCCAATCATGACTGCTGGCAGCATGAGAGTTTTCCCCGTTGGGGGCGCCCGCATTGCTAAGTCTGCAGCGAGCCGGCTCACTGTCATGTCTCACAAGCACGAACTGCCCCTGCTTTCTCCATAAAGGCCAGGGGTCGCAGCAGGAACTGTCCGGGCATAGGGTTCCGGTCGCCCCCCCTCACAAATAGTCCAACTAAATGCTAAGCCACGCGCGGCCCACTGCTAAGCAAAATGCACGAGTCTCGTGGAGCCGAGCCCAAAGCATCCATCAAAAAATTGCCTCCCGATTGCGGCCACATGCCTAATCTCTCCACCTGAGCCCATTGGCGCACGCGGCGCGATTTCCATCAGCGGATGTGTTTGGAAGCCCCTAGCTGCGGCCCAGGCCCAAAAAAGTACCCGACAAGCGCTGTAAATCTTCCAAGCAGTTGGAAGAGCCGAAATCCCGCTGCAAGCAGTGCGGCAAGCTGCTCCACAAAGAGGTAGCCATAGCCAAGAAGCAAAATCAATAGAACACAGTCAAGCAAAACCCACGGCGAAAATCACACAACCGCCAGCAGAAGCATTGCCGGACTTCGCAAGCAACCCACTTGACTGACCCCGACTCAAGTAACCAATGAAAACGCTCACCCACATGTCCCCGGGGCTTGATCCCGTCAGGTCACTAGGTTACCTCATATGACTCATGTGTCATTGGCCTGGCTCAGAAGGCAAGGCACAGAAAACGCGCAGCATAGCAATTGTATAACTATATATATATAAATTATAAGTATCAAGTATCATTAAGTATCATCAGCATTGCAAAGCCCAAGACCTATCGTCCAGTCCCCTCTAAGTTCTTGATCTTTCGATGCTTTCACTGTCGTCCTCACGTTTCAGGAGGCCCGGCTGTACAGTAGGGCTAGCCGGCTCTGGCATCGATGCGACCTTGGCAGCTTCACGATCTCAAAAGGGACCGGAAAGGCTTGTGTCTGGGCGTCAAATGATTCTGGATGCTAGGTTGGATTGCTGGGAGTCATTTCTTGTTGGTACAGAGTGGCGACACAAAATTGGATGCCAAGATCTTCCTCTTAAGCCCTTAAACTGCAAACTTGAAATGCAAAGCCAGGCAATTGTTTGACTGTTTGTGAGGCTGCGGCGGTGCCTCAAATTGAATCATCAATCCCAGGCGTGTGTGTCGCTTGAATGAAGACACAGGAACAGATCACCGCAACTTTTCCCCTTGTGAACAGTTTAGTGGGGAGCTCGAAGCTTCAGGAAAGCCAAGGTTACCAGCAAAGTCCTATTTCTTTCAACGGGTAACCGGCACAATCTGCATAGGCCTAAGAAACCTTGCGAATTATCCCCGCAAGAAATTCCAAACAGTGTGAAAGACGAGAGCAGCAGTGTGGACACAGACTATATATACAGGTTTGCGCACTCCAGTGGCTGAAACGTGTGGAAAAGGTACGGGTGGGTGACCGACCTCCAGCAAGCTGGTAACCGACGCATTGCAACAGGTTGTCCGGACTCTTACACCAAGCGGGCTGAGAATCGCTGAGGGGTCTATATAAGAATATGAGAGATCCAGATGGAGGTCTAGAGGTCTAAAGATCCAGAGTTTGGAGGCCTAGTCTTCAGGTCCACACCATCAAATCCACAAAGGAGGTCTTGAGGTCCAAAAATCTAGACCTGGAGTCGGAGAGCACATATAGAGCGCACATATGGGACCACATACACAAGAGAGGGTCCAGAATCGCAGAGCCGGAGACGTAGAGACCTGACATCCAAGAAGTCTAGAGATCAGGGTTTCGCAGCTGCAGGTAGACGTCTAGAGATTGAGAGCTGTCGGGTGTAGGTCTTGAGATCCACAACAGATCTAAAGATCCAGAGTCAGGCGGTCTAAAGGCCGTCTACAGGTAGAGAGAGGGAGAGAGAGAGAGAGAGAGAGATGGGGCTTAAGTCTTAAGTGATTTCCTTCTTTTTGTGTGCTAAGGTTGGCTGCAAATTGTTTTAGCAAGATTGCTGCTTTCTAAAACTCCGGACAAACTTGTTCCTGGAGTCTTTGGCCTGAGTTGGTACATATGTTCAGCACATCACTATATGAATCAAACCTAAATCCCCGCATTGAGTCCAAAGCAGGTGTTTCGAAACGGACAGAAGTTTACTTTTTTCTTTCGCAAGCTCGTCCGTTTGGCGACATTGTCTTGCGAATCCCCACGAGTCGCAAGATGTGGATCCGACATCATGAAGAAGAACGCGACGGACAG